GGGAGAGATACTGGGATCCGTGGTGGTGGGAAATGGGCACCGGTGGAGGGATGGGTATTTGATCATTGTATAATTGAAACCCAAGCACAAAAATGTGTAAGTCTGCAACTGTACCTCATGATGTCTCACTATTAAAAAAAATTTTAATAAAAAAAATAAAATCCATCTACAAGGATGAGAACAACTTAATACAGTCAAAATGGGTTGTTGATGTTTTTTGCCAAAAGTATTATTCAAATTTAATACAATTTAAATCAGAAGTCTAAGGACATTTGTTAAGGAAAAAGAACAAAAATTATTATGGTTATACGGAATAATAAAGTACCCCAAATAACGAAAGCAATCCTGAGGAGATTGGAATATAGAATGAATGGGCCAGAGAAATACTACAATGGGTAAGGCACTTGTCTTGCACATGGTTCACCTCAGTTCAATCATGTCCCCATACATATATATATATGTATATATATATATATCACTTGATCACTTGATCACTTGACTTCCTGTTAATCCTCGATTTGCTCGAGCGGGCGCCAGTAATGTCTCCATTTGTCCCTGTTGCGTGCTAGTGTAGCCCAATGGCGTCTGTTCGTTCTAGGAACACTAAGAGCCTCAAACCGATCATTCATGATTTTGATGAAGAAGTCTGACCATCTGGTAGGTGGGCAGCCACGCGGTCTTTTGACATTCCGTGGAATCCAGTCGGTAACAGCCTAGTCCAATGGTCGTCTTTAAACCTCATTACGTGACCAGCCCATCTGATTTTTGACACCTTGGCAAATGAGACAGCGTCCCTGATTCTTGATCGTCGATGGATGTCAGAATTCTGGATTCTTTCTCTCATTTGAGTGAAACGTGATATTCCAAGCATAGCTCTTTCAATTCCTCTTTGGGAGACGCGAATAGCATTCTCATCCTGTTTGCATAGGACCCAGGTCTCTGAGGCATATATTAATGCAGGAAGAACAGTGGAATCAAAGAGATGTGCCCGGAGCCGGAGGTTCTTCGTCCTCTTAGCTATTTCTTCGATGCTCTTGAAGGAGTTCCAAGCCGCTCTCTTCCTCCTGCGCAGCTTGGATGCCAGGTCATTTGTCATGTTGACTTCTCGACCTAGGTACACGTAGCTGTTGCATTCAGAGATGGTCATTCCGTTGAGAGCGAATGGGGCATCAGGAACGGGGCTGTTTCTCATAAACATTGTCTTCGTAAGATTCAGCTCTAGTCCTACCTTTCCACACTCACGGTCAAAGTTGACCAGCATTTGTGCCGCTTGGCTAATGTTTGGTGTTATTAAAACAATGTCATCAGCAAAGCAGAGCTGGTGTAGTTGCCGACCATCTATCTTCACTCCCATTCCTTCCCATTCCAGTCATCTCATGATATTCTCGAGGGTGGCACTGAAGAGTTTCAGTGAAATGGTATCACCCTGCCGAACCCCTCTCTTGACATCAATGATTACATCTTTGTAGAATGGTGAGATCCTGGTAGTGAGTCCATAATACAGCTCATGGAGAATCTTGATGTATTGAGCTTGAATGCCCTGATTGGCTAGGGCTTCAATGACCGCTTCCATCTCAACAGAATCAAAGGACTTCTTTACATCATTGAAGGTTAGACAGAGCAGCATCTTGAACTCCCGAGAAACCTCAATGAGCTTGGTTATCATGTGGATATGGTCGATTGTGCTGAATCCTTTTGGGAACCTGGCCTTCTTACATGGTTGTTCTTCATCAAAGAGATTTGAGTAGAAGTCATAGATAATCTTCTCCATTGCCATTCTGGAAGATATGATAGATCCATCAGGACGTCGGAGGGCAGTCATCTTGGTCTTGTAGTTGGCCAAGGACAGGCGGGCGTTACGAATACTTTTCCCAGCTTCTGCCGCATCTACCAGCACTTCTGCTCTTCTCTCTTTGAGGTCCTCATTGATCGCATCTCTGCACTGCTTTGTGAGCTCAGATGTTCACTTGTGGTTGCCTGAGGCATGCACCAAACCACGCTGGCGAATAAGCTCAAGAGTTTTCGAAGACAGGCATTTTTTTTGTGGCTATCTCTCTCTTGGCATTCCTCGCACAATCATGGAGGTGCTGAACCAGTCGATCGTATTCCTTGTCAATGTTGTCAACAATGGCATCTTCCCATGTTGCCGCAATAGTGCCAAAGAGCTCCCAGTTGGTGGTCATTCTGGGAGTTCTCTTTTTAAACTTTGCAGCCCTTTCTCCCTGCTCTGTGAAGTAGAATTTTGCACGAAGGAGACGGTGGTCCGATCCCATTTGGAATTTTGGCACAACAGCGACATCGGTCAGGCAAAACCGTCGATTGAATATGATGTGGTCTATTTTGTTGTGGAATCGTCCACCGGGAGAGTCCCATATCCAACGTTTAGATTCGGCCTTCTGGAACTGTGAGTTACCATGGATGGTCTTGTTCGACATGATGAACTCAGACAGTCTGTCACTCTGGTCGTTCCATTCTAGGCCATGGGTCCCGATGTGAAGTTCTTCGACTGATCTTCTTGGTCCTATCTTGGCATTAAAATCACCGACAATGATCTTGTAGAAGGTGTGGTCTTCTTTATAGAACTTTTCCAACTCCATGTAGAACTTCTCAATTTCTCCTTCATCATAATTAGATGTTGGTGGGTAGACAATGAAGATAAAAACTGCTGGCAGTGAGCCACATCTATTCAAATGTAAACGTCCGATTCGGGTTGTTAGGCATTCGAATGAATCAATGCTCTTGGCCAAGTTTGTGTTGACAAGGACACCGACACCTCCGACATCTCTTAGCCGCTCACATGTTCCGAGGAACAATTCTTCTCCAGTGTCGAAAACGGCATGATGAGATTGGTGCCTTCTTGTCTCGGTCAGACCAATGATGTCGTACTTAATCTTTCACGCTTGTACCATCAGGTCCTCGATGGATGCATCTGATGCTAGCATACATGCATTGAAAGTACAGACGATCATTTTTGTATTCCTTCGTTGTGGCAGCCTAGTTAGGCCTTGAGATTTTATCGGCCTCTCCTTTCTCATCCTTCTCAATGCTGCCATATTGGTGAAGCCTTCAGGGTCAGGGGAATGAGACCCATTGTAATTACTGGTTTTAGCATATCAAATACACAATGGATAGCTTGTGAGGCTCTGCCATGCGGGCGGAATACTCTCGGTATCTTGCCAGGCTTTCCGAGAGGGATAGAGGCTTTTTGGGGCAACCTCTAATCGCCCTTGTAAGTGCTACCATATTTGAACCCTATCAAATATGGTACGGCAATTCCAGAAGATGGGTATTTAGTGTCTTATGTCACGAGGCCGCAAAGCGTCCTGGAGTGTGGCAGCAACTGGGTAGTGAAGGTAGTGGAGGTAATGGAGGTCTGCCAGTGAGGTATTTATCTGGTCCTGGTAGGGGTAGGGTGGGTCTTCTATGCACAGTCCAATCCCTAGGTCTCTGGTAGTTGGTGGAAGAAGACAGGGCAGGGTAGGGTGGGGCTCCTGATTTTAATCCCTTCTTCACCTGTGGTTGGTGGGAGCAAGCAGAGAATCTCTGTCCCTGGGTCTCTTGAGCCTGGAGTCCAAGGTCTCAAGAGTTCCACTTATCTTATTCTGTGGGGCCTCAGTCGTGCCTGAGTCTCAGACAGAGCGGCCGCGTGGGTCCGGAAAGCGTCCTGGAGTGTGGCGGCTACTGGGTAGTGGAGGTAGTGAAAGTAGTGGATATATATACACAAATATATATATATATACATATATATTCACTACTATTTGTGTATATATATACACAAATAAAATGTCTCCGTATTTATAATGTCTTCATTGCTGCTGAAAGGCACTGGCCTTCATTGGTTAATAATTGGAAGGTAGCAATCTGAATTATCTTGAGTCATTCTAGACTTTCAGAGAAGAAATAAATTATTTTTTATTTATTTTTAATAAATAATAAAAATAATAATTAGTTCACTCTCTCTCTCCTTAGCCTCCAACTTACATTCACTTAAGGGGCAGGGGGTGGGGGGTGGAAGTTACCTATGAACTTGGCATGAAATCTGGGGCTGGAGCAATAGTACAGCGGCTAAGAGGGTTGCCTTGCACTCTGCTGACACGGGTTCAGTCCCTGGCATCTCACACTGTCCCCCAGCACAGCGTTAACCACGGCCACGGTCCTCTCGAGCGGGCCCAGTAACGTCTCCATCGTGAGACTTATTTTTACTGTGTTTTGGCATACAGAATACATCACTAGTAGCTTGCCAGGCTCTCAGAGAGGGGTGGAGGAATCGAACTCGGGGCGGCCATGTTGACTGCGTGGAAGGCAAACGCCCTACCGCTGTGCTATCGCTCCAGCCCAGCGTTAACCAGGACTTCTTAAAATTGTTTCCACTTACTATGCAACCTCAGGTTAAACCAAGCGCTTATTGATAAAAGCCTTAATTAGATTTCCTACTGATTTCCTTTCACAGAATCAAGTTACGGAGTTCATAATCTCTTAAATGGAATTAAGCCCAAATACTAGTAAATGGGAAACGTGGAACAGGACCCTACACCAGACCTTGCACTTCGGCCATTCTCACCAACTGACCCTCAGTGGTGGGGGGGCTTTGGCCTCGCACTCGGCGCGGGCAGAGCTCCACCCTATGGGGCGGGACTTGAGAGGTTTGGTCCTATCATGGAGCCCGTCTAACCAGCTGGGCTTGCTTCATTGGCCAGGTCACACCGATGAACCCTAGAGCGCGGATTTCTGGGAAAATCGGCACACCGGAAGTTTTCCTCTCCTGGCGCCACGCCTAGGCGGGGCTAACCTTCCGACCCTCCGCGCCACTGGCGGGCCGCGCTATCCGTCACCGAGAGGCGGGCGGGGGCGTGGCCGGGCACGGGACTCGGCGGGAGACGCTAAGAGCAGCGAGCTCGGGGCCGCCGGGGAGAGGTAAGGCGTCAGCGGAGGCGCTCGGGCTCGGCGTGGCCTCCCGCGCCCTCCGGTGCCGGCGCGAGCTCGGGAGTCCCCGCCCTGTTTGCGGGGTCGCCTTCCCATCCCTCCGGCCTCGGCATACCCGGATCGTCGGTTCTGGCTGAGGTGGGCGCGGCCCCGCGTGGGCCCGAGCCGGGCCCCGCCGCCCGCCGCGGCCGCTCCTCCGCTCCCCCGCTCCCCTGCCGCCTCAGGGTCGCCCCTCGGCCACTCCTCCCTTTCCCCGCCGCCTCACGGCGCCCCTCTGCCGTTCCTCCACCGCCACGGCGCCGGCGGTCGGACGGCCCCGGCCCGGCGCGGTCTCGGTGGGGCGGGGCTTTGGCCTCGCACTCGGGGCGGCCCCGTCTTGCTCTTTCTCTCGGCTTTTGTGCGCTGCTTGCCCGTGAATTCCCTTAGCAGTGACGGCGCCGCGTCCTTGTCGGGCCGGCCTGGGAGGGAGGACCAGTGCGAGTCTCTTTGCGAACGTTGTATTCTGCAGAACGCCGCCCCGCCGGAGACGAGGCCTGCCGCATCCTCCCTGCAGCATCTTCCCTGCCGCATCTTCCCTGCTGCATCCTCCCTGCCCGTCCGCAGAGCTGGACGGCGCGGGCCGTCGAGGGAAGGCGGCGTCTGCACCAGCCGTCACTTGTCCCACGGTATCCCGAGAGGCTGCTTCTGGTGTGTTGGAGGCCGGCTGTCCGCTAGCTCTGTAGGTAATGCGGGAAGTGGAGGACTCCTCAGTGTGGGTAGGGAGGCCCGGGCAGGGGCGAGGGAGGGGCAAGCTGAGCCTGGGAGGAACCTATTGCAATGAGAAAATGGGCTCTGAAAAAGCATGTTATGGTCATCTCTCTCGAGAACAGTACACATTCTTGCAAGCGATGTAGCAGTGATTTTTGACCCAGCCTGTAGTTTCTCTGTTGGCACTTGTAAAATTGATAGACCGTCTCATCCACTCTTGGTGATAATTAAGTGAAGTAATGTATGTGAAAAACTGTTGAGACATGACTTGACATTCCTTGATGGATTGAGCAGAATGTCTAGCCAGTGCTTCTCGCCCTGTAACCAACTGCTATTCCCCCCTCCCCCCCATCTTGACATTGACAGTTCTTTTCTGGAGATATGGTACCTCCACATCCCTCAGATTTTTTGAATGCCAACCCTTCCCAATTCCAAAGATTTTCCCAACCCTTGGAATCTTTTGTGTATTTCAAAAGCTAATTAAAAACCACATTTTTCAGGAGTCTGAGAGATAGCACAGCCGGTAAGGGTTAAATTCATTGCACTCCACTGACCGGGTTAGATCACTGGCACCCCATATGGTCCCTGAGCCCCTCTAGGAGTGATCCCTGAGCACAGTCAGTGTGGCCCAAAACAAGGACACATTTTTAGAATATAAGTTTGTAAGCACAAACACGTCCATTGTTTTAATAACTTTTACCCTTTTTTTTTTTTAATAAAATGTTTTAATGATACAGAGAGCAGCAGAACTTATGGCAGTTGTACTATATCCTGAATAGAACAAACACTTTTGTTGTTGTTTTGCCGCTGAACTTTTTTTTTCTTTTTTTTTAAGGAAGTGTAACATTTCAACTATGTTGAAATTCTTTTTTTGCTTCCCCTATTACAATGTCTTTAAAAGCTGGGGATCCAATCAAGTGCCAGGTTTGTTTCTTATGCCTTATTTCTGTGGCCCCTTTGTATCTTGTCCTCTCTTCTCATCCTTCCAATGCTGGTTGGGTGAGTTCATTTAGAGTCTTAAAGACTCTTATCTGGTGAACCTGTGCCGTGTACTCGGCCTGTATTCAGTCATTGTCTTTGCCCAGAATAAACTTGACCCACTTCCTTAAGTTTAGTGTTTGCATCACATTTGTTCCACCCTGTGCCAGGGAAAAGCAACCTTCCATAATTTATGAACTACATTTTATAAAATTAGGTTATAGTAATAATGACAGTGTTATCATTGATAATCATCAATTATTATCATCATCACTATAATTGTACGTGTTTTATAATTGTTTCTGAACAAATGGTACAAAAAGACCATATTTTTTAACTATGTATTTTGATACTGTTGTTTAATTCACACATTTTAATCATGTATAGTTTGTGATATTCCCATTCTTAAATATTCAGAACAGCACTTAGTAAGATTAGGCATCAACAACAGTCTATAGTCATCCCTCTATGGTATGTTGTTAAGCCTCCACTATTAAAAGAGGAATGTTACGTTATTGGTACAGAACAAGTTTTGGCATTCACACAAGTTTTCTTCAACCTTCCTGTCCTACATTCTTGACTCTCAAGGCATAGGAGGCACCTGGGCGGAGGCCTCCTTTTACACAGCCAGAGATGGCATCAGTGGACTTCAAGACTTATGTGGATCAGGCCTGCAGAGCAGCTGAAGAGTTTGTCAATGTCTACTATACCACCATGGATAAGCGGAGGCGTCTACTGTCTCGTCTATACATGGGAACAGCCACCCTGGTGTGGAACGGAAATGCTATTTCTGGACAAGAGTCATTGAGTGAGTTCTTTGAAATGTTGCCGTCCAGTGAATTCCAAATCAATGTGGTAGACTGCCAACCTGTTCATGATGAAGCCACACCAAGCCAGACCACAGTCCTCGTTGTGATCTGTGGATCAGTGAAGTTTGAGGGTAACAAACAACGGGACTTCAACCAGACCTTCATCCTAACTGCTCAAGCCTCACCTAATAACACAGTGTGGAAGATCGCAAGTGACTGCTTCCGGTTCCAGGACTGGGCGAACTAGGAAGTCAGAAAAGGCCTCTCTAGCCACAGCTCTGTAGGTAAATATATGTATATCTCAAGAGTGGGAACACAGGTTTCTTTCTGTCTTGCAGGCTTCCCTGCCCACATTGAATTCTGTTTGCTCTTGTTTAAGGATCCACCTTTTTGAGTGTTTACATGTTTGTCTTAGATGCCTTTTCAAAGTAGTAGACTTCTATTTTTATACTTATTCACTAGAGACCCTGGTTCTGAAAATTCTGGATCCCCCCCCAAAAAAAATGTAATAAAAATGTTGTTTCTTTATCCTTGCCTGAAATTTTACTGTTTTGAGGAGGGTGGAGAAGCATTAAAGGCAGGAAGCTTAGTAAAAGATACCTACAGAGATGTGATGTGAACTCTTAAGGCCTATTGCATACCCTAAGCAAAGGTTTTCACTCAGGTATATCAGTGATGAAGTTCACAGCTGTAACTCCTTAGGACCTCTGAAAATTACCTTTTTTCAATCTATACAGCCCATACCAACTTTGCACCTAGATCACCAGGACTAGAAATTGACTATTTTCGAAAATATGGGAGATGGGAGATATCAACATGTTGAGTAGCTGAGACTTACTGTGCATATGCCTGAGAATCTTAGGTGGCTGAGAGGTATGCAAATGAAATTAGATGAAATAAATGCTTAGAACTTGAAATTCTCTTCCTTTGTAAAGAGAAGTAGTAGTGCTGGAGTGGATGGTGGTGGTGAGACAGTTGAAATTACAAATTTTATGAACCCTGAAGACTAACTCAAATTTCTCCAATAAAAAGAAAAAATAAATTGTTGAAGGCTTAATTGTCCTTTAACCAATAGATGAGATCTTAGTACTATATGGCTTCTGAAGTTATATTTTCTTTGACTAGGGTATAGTATGTTTGATCTAGAATTGTAGTTATGATAGTGAATTAGGAATATAAGTTTTGGCCAGTGACACTTAAAAGTTGGGCTTAGAATTTGCTGGATTGACCCTTCTGTCCTACCTGGATGAGGTTATGGTAGCTGGACTACTGGCCCTATCCAAGTTTTGGGCCATGAGACCAGGTTAACTTTAGGCAGGAACTGTGTTATGCTGTAAAGTGCATACATAACTAATGACTTGAACTACCAAAATGGTTCTAGTTTGCCTTTTCCCAGACTTTAAAATGAAAGAAGCATGTTTTAACAATTAATTGATTTGGGATATTATGACATCAAACCTAGCAAAGCCTAATCTTTAAGTAAGGAAAGAGCTGCAAGGGACAAGATGTGCAAGTGTATTGTGAGAATATGACTTCACTGTGTCCCTGACAAATCAGAATATTTGGGGATATTTTGTGCCCTCCTGGCCTCAAAATGTTCACAATCTAATGGGAGGCAAGCCAGTGAAAATGGTAAATTTAGATTTAAAGTCACATAAAAGATTGGTACAACCGGTCATAGATGTGTTCATAGCAAGCCAAGACAATTCAGCTGAGATGCTGATAAAATTAGTTTCCAACTTGTAGAATTATCTGAAGTCTAAAACTTCCTTAGCAGAAAAGAATGGAGTGGCCTGGGAGAATTGGTTGCAGGGATTGATGTGGAGGGAGGCACTCATGTGTCTCAAATCACAAATCCTCTCTCACAGGATGAGGGGAGATACACTTTTAAATCAGACCCAGATGTATTTTGATATGGGTACATGAAGTGTTTTTACTAAAGAGCTACATGAATTGTAGTCAGCAGAAGTAAGCAGTAATTCTTTTTTACCAGTATGATCTGGATTTGGGACTGACTATATTCAGAAGCGTCTTGATTTCTTGTTGTTCTCTGAACATCTGAATCTGGGGTAACATACTACCAGGAACCCCCTCAGTTTTCTTTCCTGTCCATTTTACATATAGAAGCTCCAAGCGACTTTCTCTTTAACCTCCTCCCTTTGAGTCCTAGCCCCTGTCCCTTTTACCCCTCAACCCCTATGCTCTTTCATAGTTACAATCATTAAATACAGATCAAAAAACAACAAACCCATTGAAAGAACCCTACAATCTTTGTCTTCTGTGTATAGGCTGCTCTTTTTGGTTTGTTTTTGGGGCCACACCTGGCAATGCTCAGGGCTTACTCCTGGCTCTTTGCTCAAGGATCACTGGTGGTGCTCAGGGGACCATATGGGGTGCCAAGGATAGAACCCAAGTTGGTCATGGACAAGGCAAGCTAGGCTGGTCTTCCTAAGCTTACCCTGGCACTTGGAAGCCTGAACTGGAGAGGTTGAAAGACTGATAGCCCCTTTCACACAAACCATGATCTTGGACCAAAGTTAAGAACACTATGGGTTAAAGGGTCACTGGTCAGCACAATGTTGTAAATTTTTGTTTGTCTTTCTTAATTTGGGACCATACTCAACTCTGTTCAGGACTTACTCCTGGTCCTCATGTGGCACAGGAGACTGTAGGGCAAGCTCCTGTACTATCTTTCTGGCACCTGAATGATCAGTTTTGTAATTGCCAAAATAAGAAAAAGTAATAGCTTCTTGATCTATATTTACCTTCCAATTGGTTTTCCAATTGGAAGAGATTTATAGATCTCTGTTCCCTCTTACCTGCTTTTATCTTTTTATGTTTTTTATCTGCAAATACAAATCTTACGGACAGCATTTGTTTTAAGGTTCTATTGCTAGGGGAGGTGAAAGAAGAGGCTTAAAATTTAAATTTCCACTATGACTTTTATGAAAAATTCTGCTTGTCCTATAATCTCAGGTTGATGGATTTGGGGGGGAAATTGGGTACCTAATATGAGTCCCTGTCATACGTGTACCTGCTGTGCCCAGCAGCTCCCTCCAACCACTTCCCCTGCCCTGACTGCAGGATCTCACTCCCCAGCACTGACAGATTCTGGGCAGTTTGGGGCAGCAATAAGGGAGGGCAAAGGGGCCTCCTGCGGGTAGAAATCTTTGCCTAAACTGAAGCGCTCCTGTACATAGACCTGCATACTTGCTCCAGTGTTGTCTGAGTGTCTGTATGTGTAGTCTGCTGCCTTTGGAATGCCACAGATGTCGTGATCCCCAACGAGCTGCTGCTCAAGACAGAAGCCTCTTCCTTCAGAGGGAAAAGGCTCTTGGGTCTTGCCCTCTGAAGGAGCAAGGTTTGACTCTGGAGACACAGGATAGGAATTGGTACACTGTCACTTCTGCACATTTTGTTGACCTAGTTCAGCCATAAATTCAGTCAGCAGATAATGAAATAGATTCTTCCTTGGGACAAAATTGAAATATGAAATATGTGTGAGGAATCTCAAGTTTTCTCTTTTGCTAATAAGCCTTTAACTCATGCATGAAGTTCATTAAATGGCTAAAAACAAAAAAAATCTTTGCCCCGTATACCGTTTTCCCCAATTTACTGGACTCCTTCAGGGTTCTAAAACTAAATACCTTTTTCTACACAAGCTTTCCTCCACTCCCAACTTGACCGTGAAGCCCACCTGTTAAATGAAGATTGCAGTGAAAAAATAGAACAGTCACAGATTGTTTCTGCTCGTTGTCAAAGGTGGGACTAAGCTTAGGTGTGTGGATGTCTGGCATAAATGAATTAATACTCACTACTGTTGTTCAGGTGCTGCCCTTTGCTTGCAGAGTGCTTCCTTCAGGTTTTCACCCTAGACCAGTATCTCCACCTGAAGGACAAAGGCATGCCTAAAATCTTTAATTTTCACTTTACAAAGAGACTTGTATAACAACAAAGTTGTGGGAGAGGCAAGACTAGTTTCGGTTTACCAAAATTAGCATGTACTCTTTTAATTATTTAGAAAGATTATTTGGAAATTTAGGGTTTTCAACAAGTTTCAGCTGCAAATTAAGTTCCATGTTTCTCCTTTGACTGTTAATTATGGTTTTTATATATTCCTTATCAGTTAAGGCTTGATCCTTATATATGTTCCTCAATCTATTATTTTTATCGTGAAAGGATGTACTTTGTCAAATATTTTTCTGCATTTATTGAATTGAAATGTGTGATTTTTTTTTTTAGTTTTTATGAGATTAATGTGAATCACTTATGATTTGGGTATGCGTTGAACTATCCCTACATCTCTGGAATCTGTTGGGTCATGGTGCATGAGATCTTACGTTTTATTTATTTTTTTTATTGTGACATTAATGGTTTACTTCATTATCACAGTGAGTTAAAGATTAAAGAAATAGAGCAAGGAAAGAGTTGTCCTTATTTTTTTCTGTGTCCTTTTTCAAAGATAGGTGGGGCTTGCTTGAGCTCATTTCACCAATGAGGTAGCATTTTCCCTCCCACACCCATTCTCTTGAGGCATTCAGGAGGAATACATGAACTGTGTGATTTACAAAATGCTGGTGAGCAACACTGTCAAACCATGTTTCGGGAACTTTATTGATCTGAATAATCTGGAAACCACCAAAGAAAGAACTTGACTTTGATTAGGAGAGATTATTAGAAAAGAAAATGAAAGGTTTGCAAGAATATCTGTCTGCCCACTCTTACATTGATTGCAGCCTATATTATTGAAATTGCTTATGACCAAATAATTATGTAAAAATTCCATGATGGGGGTCACAAGATAGTACAGCATTTAGGATGCTTCAGCTTCCATTTCTGGCACCATACATGATCTCTGAACGTCATCAGACACTGGAGCCCTTCAAGGGCAGCCAGGTGTGGCCTGCAAGCCCCAGCACTGCCAGGGGGACCCATGTATTGCTGGCATTGCAGGGCCCAAGCAGGCAGCATTCATCCTTTAACCCTCGGCTGAACCCATGGACCCATTTGGTCTAAAATTACCAGTGGGATCCTGGGATATCATGGACATGGCTTAGGAAGCCCCCAATTCCCCTATCCTCTCAAAATTTTCCATGATACAATAATTGCTCATATTTTAAGAGGCAGCGTTGCATGAGTGAAGGAAGTACACATCTTTGGTGTATGTAGGCAACATGTAAAACTGAGCACCCGAGTTAAGTAATACCTCTACCATTATGCTATATTACATCGTAACCCTGAGTGAGAAACCTGTTGGCTGCTAAGTTTCCAAGGCCTGCACCACTGAACAAGGTTAGTTTGCATAGCAAGCAGCTATTACTAAATTTAGAGACCTTCCATGTTCACTTGTAAAATTTTAGTTTCATTAATATTTCATGGAGAAATTTTAAAAATTATTTATTAAACAACGATTTACAAAGTTATTGACAGTTCTAGCACCAATTCCACCACCTGTGTCTACTTCCCTCCACCAGTGTTCGCATCATTTCTCCATCCCTTCCCCTCAGCCTGCCATCTTTACCAGCACA